GCACGCCAACTCTGAACTGATTGGAAAAGCATTTAGCCTGCCTTCTTTGCAGCGGTTGTGGCATTTTATTCTATCTGAGGACACAGAATAGAAGATTTATTGTACAGCAATAGCAGGTTGCAGTTATGAACCTAAAGGGGAAGAAGAACGCATGCTTTGCCAGTCATTCCCTTGTGACTAGGGTTTAAATTGAAAGAGCAGTTGAGGGCAGTTTTGAACTAGCTGCTAGTGTGAGGAAGATTCCCTATGCAACCAACTGATCATTGAAGATGGGGTACTGGTCTATCCAACTAGATTCCTCGCTGGTTGATAATGCATTAGACAGATGGGTGCTCAGGAAATAGATCTCAGAGTCAAGAGAAGCTCATATGAAATTTGGGGATATCATCCTAGCACTCACATTTTCAACCTCAAGCTCTTGAGAAAGAGAATGGCTTAGTATTTAATGTGGAGTTTTTCTGTTTGTTTGTTTGTGAACTCTCCCCACCTCTGCATGGCTAACTCTATTATTTAGAGGTGACCTTCTAGGTTTTTTATTAAGTTGGTTGAGTGCACTGCAAAGGTTCAGAGGGCATGGCTGTATCAGAACAACCACCTCAAATTTCCAGATTTTTTTTTAATTGCTCAGGTGGTTCTCTGAATCCATTTACTCTCTTGCTTCTGGGTTTAGTCTCAAATTTTCTCCTAAAGATCTGTACCTGAGGATGATGATATATAAGCAAATAAAACTAAGCCAACACAGCTGGTTTTGCAACTCTTTCTATGTGAGAGAAAAAGAAAGGGAATGGGTGAGGCAGGAGGCCCGGAGGAAGTTTCAGCAATCTTGAAAACTGAGGTAAAAAATAGTGAGATGTTCTTAGAGTCACAAAGGTACATGTAGAAAATAAAGCCCACTGAGTGACATCATTTTGAGAGCGAGACCTTGGAGCAGTTGTTATTGTGGAAGAGAAACTTCTAAGAATGTAGGTGACAGAAAAGGTAGTCAGGAAATGATTGAGACATGGTAGATTTTTTTTGAGGGTATCTTTAAATGAGAAAGTTCTAGAAGGTGTAGACTCGCTATAAACTCAGCCTGATACAAGAGAACTTTAACTATTAGACACATATGTCTGCACATTGTACTCATTTCCCACGAATGTGTCAACACCGAAGAAGATGTACATGTAGCAGGATTGGCAGGTAGGCAGTACACACTGCCTAGGAGCTGAGGAGAAAGACTTCTCCATATTCCTTTACTCACATTAATGCCAATAAACCTACTTCTCATACAAGCAGGCTTGCAGCCATTATTGCCTCAGCACCTGCAGCTCAGAGTTTCTTTTGTGCAAATCCTGTTGCCCTTGGGAACTGTTTTATTTATTTTTAACTCAGAATTTATACAATGGGCTCCAGTGGGAATGAAAAGATTTTTGTGCCTTTTTATCAGGACTGGAGAAGAGATGAGATGGATGAAGATACAGCCTTACCTTTCCCACTATGCAAAATATAAGCACAAAATGTTTCTAGTTTAATTGATATTAAGTGATCACATCATAGTAGATACATATGATAGCAGAAAATAAGAAAAATGTATGATAATGGTTGCTATAGAGATAGGGAGAGGACTCATTTTGATGGATGGAAAAACATATTAATAAAAGAAAACGTCATACCAAAGTGAATGCTCTGCCTATCATATCAATGCTTGGCCAATGGAAGCACTGTGGTGATGTCTGGATTTCTAAAATGCAGTGTGTTTGTATGGCTAGGTATTTCAGGACAAGGAAACAGAGGTATTGCATATAGGAAGCATGTGGGGCATTAGGATACAGTGAAGAGTGGCATTGTTTGTGATATTTATTGAAGTGAGAATAAAATGACTTAACCAGCTTCTGGGAATGAACTTGGATTGCTTTAGAAGGCCGTCATAAAGGAGATTATCCTGTTACAGGTGATGTAACCAAAATTAGTTGCTAAACTGTGCTTCCCTGCTCAACAGCTGGGAACATGTAGCAATGTGGGTGTCCATACTCCACATGCACTTCTGATTCTCTGTCCAGCTATGGGAAATCTTGGCCCACTTTTATTATGTGCTCCAGAAATAATCAGCAACCAAACCCCTGAAACCTAGGCATTGATCTGATAAGGTCAAGAGTCCATGATTCAGACAGGCATGAGGCAAAATGTATACATTTCATCTTTCCAATGTTAAGTTTTGTGGTCAGTTTAAACTTCATATCATTTGAGTCGTGGAGAGAGCTCAATAGAGGGTTATTGGTGGCAGTGATTCTCAACCTGCTGTCCATTGATGATGCTGACTTACTACGTCTCTAATTCTAAATATGGTAACTGTCTCATCCCAAGTGATTTTGGAGTTTTCTGAATTTGTCACAGACAATCCCACATTCTAGAAAACCCTTCAGTCCCAGACAGCTTTTGTTGCTCACGTAAGTTTTAGTGGAAATGAGGAAATTTGTTTTTTCCAAAGTTTAAAGTACTTAATTTAAATTCTAAAAGACAATGAGCTTTCTTTAGCTAAATACATTCGTACTAAAATTTAAGGTTCTGACTTCCTACACCTTGACTTCACAATTCCACTTTTGAAATGAAATCATGGTGGCAATGTTTGGTAGTGTTACACTACAATTAGCAGCATTATTTTTCACAGATGAGGTAAGTTTTACATTAGAATCTCCCTGCCCCCATCTATTTGTATATATCTGTGTAGCCCAGGATGGCCTTAAACTCTTAATCCCCCTGCCTTACCATCTCCAGTGCTTGTGAGTTTAGGTATGGACTATTATGCTAGGTTTCTCTTCTGCCACAGTCTAACCATTACTGATGCTACTGTCTTCCTCTGCTTTATATTCTCTGCCATTCTTACTAGTTGTCATGCTGGAACTTTTTATCTCAAGGTGAAGACGTTGACGGGAGACATTAGTTCAGACTACAAGTGCTGGGCTTGAAGAAGCCAACGTTCTTGTTATATACTATGTCTTGAGGAATGGACATTCCTCTTAACTTTTCTGTTTTGCCTTGTATTTCTTCCCCCATTCTGAATTACTTTTGTGGATATGACACCAGGGAGTCTTTAAGTGTAATAATACAGGGTGATGCTATAATTCCATCAGGGTAACACTGTGCAAGAAGAGAAGGTTGTAGGTAGAAGAGTACGAAATGATAACTTTGTTATTGAATTTCTGTGAATCCTTGTGAAAATCATGTGGCTTTCTGACCCTCAGTTTGCTTATTTATAATTGGAGGGCTAATACTTACAAACCTGAGAAGATTTCTGAGCACAGCAAATGAAATAATGGGTCCAGAATAGGTATTGATGATGCTGCCACCAGCTGCTTACTAGCTTTCTCTTTCTCCCCATCTGCCCTAGGCAAGAAGTCCACTGTGGAGCACTGATGGTGCTTTTCATATTCTTAAACACTCCAACATTAACAAGCAGAGGCATTACCTCATTGTGGTAAAGGATACCTGCCTTATAAAAGCAATTACTCAAACCAGTTCCACTCTTTCCCCTGTTGACCTTCAATCCCTCACCACATCTTTCTTTCATTTTCCCAACTCTCAGGCAGAAAGCCTCATCCTCAGGGGACCAGATCGTGGTACTTTCTTTTCAAACCTTAACATTCCAATGTAAGCACCTGCGATTTATGGTCTCGGTTCCCTTCCTGCCCAAAACACACAGCACAAAACACATATGCATCAAGAAGGGAATCGTGATGGAGTGAAAAGACAGCACAATACTGGGAAACCAATAACTGGACCCTAGTTTGTCCTATGTACCCCACCAGCTTTTTACTCTTGGTTAAAGAACTTCCTCCGCACACTCACATCTGTAAAAATGATACGGGGAGGGCAGGTTATCACTTGAGTGGTCCCCAAACTCTGGAGTAGTAATCTGCAGATCAAGTTTCTGGTTCCGGTGTGTCTGGTTACTAACTGTGACTGGAAAAAAAAAAAATCACTTCCTGCTTTGCTTAGCCAAACTCACCCATATGTAAAACAAGAAGACTGAATTAGGTGATTCATTAAAGTCTCTGCCAGTCTGGGAATTGGATGATTTTTTTTAAAAAGAAGTTCACTAAGCAAACATGAATTGTAATGCCTACCCTGTGCCAAGCACTATTTGATGATGCTTGTAAAATCACATACAGCTAGATCCTGAGACCACCATATACAGGTCATGCTTTCTCCTGTTGATCTCCCAAAGTGGCATTATGGTGGCTTCATACAACTAGTCCCTACACTCCTCGTGCTTTGGGCCCCTCTTTCCAATATCACTACTTAAAATTCTAAGCAGTGGTGGTGAATCAGAGAGGAGTTTCTGAAACATTCCACCATCTGCCTGCTAGAGACATTTACAATGCTTTCATCAAGCTACAGTGTGGTCTCTAGCTGCATTAGTAGAGAAACTAGCCAGAAAGCAATGGCAGGTTAATGGAGTGGAAAGGAAGTGGTTGATTTTTGACAGCAGAGTCTGGGAAAGCCATTTGTGAGCTGGGCTGAGGCTACTAGCACTGGAAAGGCAGTATCCTGAATCTGAGATTACTTGTTCCAAAGGGGATCTTGAAAGGCCCACGCAGCTCTGTATATGTTCCTTCCCCAGAGAAAGCCTGATCTTTCTATGTTTCTGGAAGATGAGAAACTTTTTTTAACTGGACACAGCAAAGGATGTGGACAATTTTTTCTTGGTAGTTAGAGTCTAAGCATAAGCACTGCTGGTTAGCAAGTCGCCCTTCAGTTTGTGTGTGGGCAGTGACCCAGTAATAAAGATACAGTACAACACTAAGCAACTTTTATTTTATCCTACCAGTTTCACTTTGAGATTTCTGTTGGACACGCTACGTCAAAATGAAACATCTTACACTGTCCTCTTACCTCTAACATAGGGGCAGACCTGTGACTTGTATTCCTCTTCATTTGCTGAACAACTGTGTCACAATGTCATTCAACTGGAACCCCCAGGGAGTCTTGGGATAGCCTAACTCTCAGATTTTCTTCTCATGATTGGTTCCATATTGTGTGTCAAGAGTAATAAGCCAACTGAACAGGCTCCATTTGGATTGCCATAGCAGTCACTAATTCAATTCTGTGACTCTTCCACTGCAGCCTAGCGACTATAGAACTCTGAACTAGGCAGAAGGAAAGGATGATGGAAAGCAATATCCCACAAAGACCCAAATGACATTTGAGAGAATGATCTCCTCCAGAAGCAAGAGCCACATGGCACGTCTGTGAGTCCCAGTACCTGCCAACCTGATGAAAACAGGCCAGTGGAGCCTACATCGTAATTTGTCGCTTTTGCTGCTGTGAACCATCTCATCTTCCCATCCTTTCAGAGAGACCTGAAACCATGAGGAGCAGCCTTACCCTGGTAGGCACCTTCTGGGCCTTCCTGTCCTTAGTTACTGCTGTGGCCAGTTCTGCCAGTTACTTCCTTCCTTATTGGCTGTTTGGATCACAGCTAGGAAAGCCAGTATCTTTCAGCACATTCAGGAGATGCAACTATCCGGTGAGGGGAGATGGGCACAATCTGATCATGGTGGAAGAATGTGGGCGCTATGCCAGCTTCACCGCCATACCAAGCCTGGCATGGCAGATGTGCACAGTGGTGACAGGTGCCGGCTGTGCTCTGCTGCTCCTGGTGGCATTGGCTGCTGTCCTAGGATGCTGCATGGAGGAACTCATCTCTAGAATGATGGGGCGTTGCATGGGAGCCGCACAGTTTGTAGGAGGTAAGACTGTCCCAGGGATTAAGTAGGTTATGGAGATTTGGGGTGATGGAAGTGGGGAATATGGCAGTATGGGAAAATACACTCTCATCTCTTCTACTCTGAGTCCAAAGCTATGAATGAGATTTTTTTTTGTAATTCATTGAGAATTCACAGCAAAATAAGATAGTAGACAGAGCTGATATCAATAGCTTTGTCTGCTTTTGTCACTTACAGGTTGTCCACTTAGTAATATTGTCTAAAATAGAAGTCAAAGTAGAAGAGTAAAGAACTGTGATCAATAGAGGTAGAGTGCTAGAGATTGAATAATAGGCACGAAAATACAGTTGCATAGGAGGAATACATTCTGTTTCTATAGCTAAATATGGAGACTGTAGTCAACAGTACTTCATTATATATATTCGAAATCTACAAACTAGAATGAGAAGAGCCTTAGTCCTTCCAGTTGTATGTCAATTAACAATAAAATAATACCAAGCAGAAAATGTATTTAATTACGTAGTTCACAGTTTAGTGCACAGTTATAGTCTATGCAACAGAACACTTCTGAATGTAGAAATATTTAAAAGACTATTATCCATTCTGCCTTTCAATAACAGCATAATTGTCCAGTATAATATTACTGCTCCTGAATAAAGGTGATCTATATAAACTGTTCTCTTTGGTGGTTATCTCAGAGGACAATGATCAGATAAACATATACACAAGTGCTCAATACCAATTATTCCCACCAAAGAAATATACCTCTAATAGTAGTAAAAGGCTATTTATTTTCCAAACAGACTACACATGAATACTTTTTGGTCTATATCCAAGGCTAGCCCCATCTGGTAGCCATTAAATAAATTTACCCAGATTTCTTATGGCTCTGACCTACCCTATTTTGTTCCTTGCTTTATTCAGCCTCCTCTTAATTTTAGTGCAGTCATCCTGGTATACAGGTAGCTGGACAGTGCTCTAAGAAAAAGCAAAATGCAGAGCTAGAAGACTACAAGAAGATGATGAGATTAGCTGAATTTGAACCAAGAATAAAGACCAAATTTAGATAGGTAAATGTACATGAATATTTGTATTATTTCATATGTTTCCATGGAGCACTGGAAAAACTGCTGTAGAACCTACTGCCGAAGTTTGTTGTTACAAGTTTTGGAGTCTTCATCCACTCCATTAACATCATTTCTATTAGTATAACAGTGTGGTAAGAAAGGTCAGGATGCTTAGATTCCAGTTGCTTTACGACATGGAGCAAATGATATGAATTTTTCTGTTTCACTTCCATTGAATATATCCCCTGGAAATATAATTCATATCTGCATTTCATTCTTCTCTCCAATGACTGACTGCATTTAGGTGGTCTTGGAGTTAGATGGTAGTGAATTTAAGCAGTTACTCTCAATGGAGTAGTGATGGGAATGAATTGGTTCTTCATCTTTCCCACAGAGGGTATTTAGTTATGTCTGGAGAAATTTTGGTTATTAAAATTCAGAACAAAGTGCCACTGAGAAGCACTTGGCTTTCTAGCTCCTTCTTGACTCAGACTCACTATAAACCTTTCACATATGTGTTATAGTTCTATTTGCTCATATGTCTTAATTTTTTTTTTTACTTTTTTTAAGTTAAAAGGTTTTCTAGAGACATCAAACATAGAATTTGATTCCTCTTGCATGCCATGGTACCAAACACATTGCTAACACTGCTAGAAACAAGTTACTTGATTTCTCTTGGAGAGTTCCATGAGTATCACAAATCAGTCTTTGACTCACTTTTTAACCTATATTTGTGGGCATGCTAAAGTTAACCCAACATTTGAACATATTTCCTCAGCAAGTGAAAGTTGACTGATAAGAGAGAGAGTGATTGCTCTCTCCTGGGATAATGTGAACATGTGAGACTTGGGTTAGTTTCCATCTTTCCTTCTTTTCTAGATTTTTTGTTTGTTTGTGTTTGTTTTTAGAGACAGGGTTTCTCTGTGTAGCCCTGGCTGTCCTGGAATTACCTCTATAGACCAGGCTGGCCTCAAACTCACAGAGACCCACCTGCCTCTGCCTCTCGAGTGCTGGGATTAAAGGCGTGAGCCACCACTGTCCGGCTGTTTTCTAGACTTTTATTTATGCCTATTATGTCCTGAGCAACCATCTCTTCTAACAGGAGACTGACAACTGAGCTCCACTTGCATCCCTAAGAGCATCCTGCTCAAAATTAGGAGGCTGCAAGTAGCAGAAACCAGAAGGATGGTAGCAACAGCCTCTACAAAACTGCATTATTAGCTCCTTCTCCTCCAAGCTTGCTTCCTCTTTGGAGCCCAACTGAGACTTTTATAACATTCAAGGTTCTCTGTATAATGCATCTTTATTGATCTCATCTACGAGATCTAGAAACTTGAAGAAAAATTTTGTGGCAAGATGTGGAATGATAATGGGGATTTTGACATGCCCAAGATGTCTGGAATAGAACTTTGGCTAGGTGACAGGTATCATTTGAAAGGAAGTCAAAAGTGAATCACATTTGGACCTCAAATGATTCTGCCACCCTATATTCCCTAAGACCTTGTTCATAGGGATGTAGTTACAGTGTTTACATCTAGTTGAGTATCTTTAAAATCAAGAATAAAGTGACATCTACAATAGTCTTAGAAAGGGCAAATGGGACTAGGTGAAATTTAAAAAATTTCTGCACAGCTAAACTAACTATCATTGGAGTGATTAGAAAGCCTATAGGATGGGAGAAAATTCTTTGCCAGTTATACTTCAGACAAGGAGTTACTAAAAAATAAAACACATGCACAGACACAAATAAACTGTGAATCAATAAATGGCCTAATGAAATGACCAGGAAGTTCTCAAAAGAAGAAATACAAATGGCCAATGAATATTTTAAAGTAGTCAGCATCCTTAGCCATCAGAAAATGCAAATTAAAATTGATTTGGGAGTCAATCTCACCCCATTGACAAAGGCTACCATCAAGAAAAATATGGTAATAAATGCTGATGAAGATGTGGGAAAATAACTCCTATTCACGGTTAGTAGGTGTTCAGACTGCCGAGACCACTATGGAAATAAGCTTAGAGTTTTCTCGAAAAAAAAACTAGTAATAAAAAATACTATATGATCTAGGTATACTATTATTGAGTATATACCTACAGGACTATATTTCTACCACAGAAACACATAACCATCCTTGTTTGTTGCTGGTCTTCATGATAGCAAGAAAAAAATCAGCTCAGATTCTTATCAGCAGATGAATTCATAATGAAAATATGGGTATGTAAACACAAAAATGTTCCCACTGCACAGAAAAATGAAATAATAAAATTTTCAGAAAAATAGATGGATCTTAAATTTATGTTAAACCTAGATAGCACAAATTCAGAGAGACAAATACTGAATGTTTTCTCATATGCAGATCCTAGCTTTTAATGCACATATGCACATTTGTGTGCATGCACACACACATCACATACACATGGATCTCATGAAATGATATCATGAGATGTATATCATGAAAGAAGATGACAAGAAGGGAGAGAATGGGAAAGAGGTGCTGAAAGAGGGAGGGAGAGCAATTGAACATGTGTGCCATGTGAGTGAACAGACTACTGGAGGTGGAAGGGTCTAAGGCTAGGAGGGGGTGGAGGAGAATAGTCTAAAAAGATCAACACGAATTAGATTGGAAGACAACAGAATGAAACAGAATATGCTGTATGCTAGTTTAAGGGAAAAGGAGCAAGAGTGTGTTATCAGGATTATCTCCTGACAGTGGAATGATATTACAATAGACTGTTAGACTTCTATAGTTCCCCTGTCTGTAACTAGACAGGTAGCAGCCATCCAGGTTTCCTTTATAGAGACTGATGACAGTTAAGGTTGTATTCCATGTATTCCAAGGGGATAGGGAAGAGTATTTTGGATTACTAGAGTTTCTAGGATTCACTTGGCATTTGACTACTCCTATGTCTCTTCAGAGCTCTTGGGTCAGACCCAGAGAGAGAGAGAGAGAGAGAGAGAGAGAGAGAGAGAGAGAGAGAGAGAGAGAGAGAGAGAGAGAGAGAGGCTTTGTCAGTGGCAGGAAGCCAACTATGGGCCGCATTTAGAGCTCCGTGGCTAGTAGACAGATAAAAGAATAAACAAACAAGCAAACAAACAGACAGACAGACAGATAAATAAATAAATAAATAAATAAATAAATAAATAAATAAATAAATAAATAAATAAATAAGAAGAGAAAGAGCTGTCGGTGTTCGATTTGCGCTTCTTGTTCAGCTAGGGGAAATTGATTTTGTTGCCCTAAGCCTGACTGCTTCTCGGCAGCTAGTGCATTAACCGAAATACATCAGGGGAGGAGCCAATTTGTTTCAGGTCTGGATTATCTCTGCCAGACCCCAAACCACTGAAGAGATGGAGGATCCATTAAGAAATACCTCCTCCCCCTGCCTGACTCTTGTTCCCTGGTCTGGCAGCTGCCCACAGAGATGAGCGGTGGGAAGTGGGGGAGACAGGAAGAAATAAAGAGCTGCTGGCCTGACTCATACTCAGCAAGGTGACCTGATGGGGCCCATGGGGCCCATTTGCTCCACCTGCAGCTAATCCAGCTGGCCAAGCTAGGGTCCAGAGAGTCTTCCACTGGGACCTCTGTGCCCTGTTCCAACCAGTGAAGGAAACATCTGGCCAGGAGATTATTTCAACACTGGGGATGTTGAGGTTTCCAACCAGCTGGGCCTCCATCCCCAAGAAAATGATCATTATTCACATTCCCCTGTGTATACATATGTAAGATGTTTGTGAATTATCCTTTCTCTTCAGCGAGAACTAAACAAAGAAAAAATAGGCGAGAAGTAAATATAGGGAACTTCTTGGAAGGAAAAAAAGTGTAAGATGTTGGATCAGGTTACTCGAGGTAAGCCAAGAATCTTTCTAGAACAGAAAATGTATTGGAATCACCTGGAATGCTTAAAGGAACATGAACTCTCCAGCTCTCCAGTTTTGTTCCCATTTTGATATATTCA